GCTGAGGCAGGAGGCCTTCAAGTTACAACCCTCCCTGGGCAACTTCTCAGGAATTTAAGGAGATCCTGTCTCAAAATTTAAAAAAAAATTTTTTTGAAGAGGTGGTGGTATAGCCTGGTGTGAAGACCCTAGGTTCAATTCCTAGTACTAGAAAAGGAGAAGAGCCTGTGCCAGTTAGCATATCATTTTGTTAGAGGGTTCTACAAAAAGAAAATCTTCTATTCATAGGCATTCTTTCCTAATGTTGCAATTCAAGCACTGAGGGAGAAGTTCTTAAATTCCACTCTGCCTGAAACTGCTGAGACTACTTCCACATGCAGATACTCTACTAAGGAATTAATGAAGGCTGTCTCAGCACTGGTGATATTTATTTAACATGCATTGTAATCCCAGCTGACACTTCCTAATGAGTTTATTGCTGCTATAGCATTAAAGCTTTCATACTCACTAAGCATAAACTCACGTGTCAAAAATAAAACATAGTCAGTCCTGATGCATAAATGGCCTACATCAATTCTCAGGCAGTCTAACCACTTTAGTTTGGTGCCAGGCGTCTAATTTGTGCCCTGAAGTGTATAGCCTCACTTGATTTAGATGTCAGACTGAGGCAGCACCTCTGTCTGGGAAATCAACTGAAAGAGTCTAGAAAATTGGTTTGGATATCTTCACCTTGGATTGTGAAAATCATTGCTCTCACATAAACAAGGGACTAAATAATATTCCAAGAGACTTATTGGAGTGTGTTTTATCAAAGGGAATGTCCTCACACTTAAAGCTTGCCATGTTTTGTGCTTTATCTCTACAGCAAATTCCATTTGGAGAAATTTATGCCAAGGCTGTAGAATCTAAATTCCTAGTGAATGAGTATTTTAGGGCATTGTCTTTGACTATGAAGTAAACACACTCAGAATATTTGAATGAAGTTCTTTCGGTCATCAAGATGTGCTTGCTCTTTCTAAGAGTCAAAAAGACTTAGAAACTTTGGAGAGGGTGACCTGTCTACAAAACACCATGTTGTTCACAGCTATGTTCTCTAGTTCAGAGAAATCACCTACCATTTCCAAAGGTGCCAAACAGGTCTGAAAGACTCTCAAGATGGAAATCAGCCAAATTTCTATTTAATGCTGATAAAACATGAGACGAACACTTTCTGAAATATAATAGTTATTGAGGTTTTTTTTAAAAAGACAAACTTTCAAAATTACAATGAAAACTTCAAATATTTAGAATTATGATACCCTTTTGGACATTCTTAAGAGCTAAAAGAGATTTTAAAGGTCATTCTGTACAACACAAGAGACAAAAGTTCAGAGAAACTAAAGTGATCTATTTGAGCTATAGAACTTGTTAAGAGCTACTGGAAGGACTAGAATTCAAGCCTCACTCTCCCAAAGTAGTGATGGCAAACCTTTCAGAGCTTTCAGTCATACCAAACAGCCACGTGTGGCACATGTGCCATATGTTCACTACCACTCCCCAGACTGTCTCTCTGGTAGGTTGACATTTGATCACGTACAGAATCATACCTGTCCTAGTTACTTTTCTTGTTGTTGAGACAAAATACTCACCACCCACAAGTTAAAAAAGGATTTATTTCAGCTCATTTTGTAGAGGGTTCAGTCCATAGGTGGCTGGCTCCAAGGCAGGGTGGCATCACAGAGGAGAAACTGCCCACAGCAAAGCAGCAAGCAACAACTGGCAGCAAGTCTGTCTGTCCTCTGTCCCTTTTTATTACATCCAGGCTCAAAGTCTATGGATTGGTACCACTCACACCCAAGGTGGGTCTTCCATTATCCACACTCAAAACTATGCTAGTTCCAATCAGTGCAGGAATTTAGTACCACCCTTGCTTAATCCCAATATCACATGCTCTAGATCTAGCCAGCTCCGAAAAGGTCCACCTATGAGCACGCTAGGTAAGCTATACATTATAAATGCCTGGTGTTAATTTAAATACACATTCTAGTAGAAAACTAAAGGCTGCTAAAACTGCTCTGGAGATCAAGAAGAATTTTTGTTATGGACACAAAAAGTATATCATGTGTATATGGAGTGTGACATAATGTTTTAACACATATATTCCTTGTGAAATATTTAAATCAAGGTAAACATATTTATGTCAACTGCTTATCTTTATAGTGAAAATATTCAAATCCTTTCTTCTAGGTTTTTGGAAACATACATTATCAATTCCTATTGTCAGCTTACTGTGAAAAGAATCTCAGAGCTTATTCCTCCCACCCGACAATAACTTAGTAACTTTGGTCACCACTCCCCATCCTTCGCTCCCTCCTCCAGGCTCTGGTAACCCCTGCACTCTCTCCTTCTATGGGACTAAACTTTTTGGATTCCATATGTGAGTGAGCATGGCTTTTAAAAAATAGAACAATGACAATTTGAAAGGAAGTTCCTTTCATCAAAGATCTAAGCCACTAGAATATTTGGTACTAGAAATAAACTCTTCTCCGTGAAATGGGTGATTTTCAAGATTTGTGCATAGGCTAAAGTATTTTACACACTCCACTCTTGCAGGAAAAGGGTACTGTAGATCAGAAGATTCTTCAAGTTTGTCTTTAATAATAGCAACTGTGGCCACAGTGTTGGGTTTCTACGTCCAGCTGATGGCCCAGAGTGTTGTGCCCACAAGATGTGAATCGTATACTTAACTACATCATGCTTCAGAACTTTGTTATCAGCCTCCTGTAAATCTTTCCTTTGGCATGTGATCAAGGAGGAGGACACATATAAGATGATCAAACATCCTGGACTAGCAGCTTCAATAAAACATTGGGACTGTCCTAAGGAAACTGGGACTAGGATACAACTGTATACTGCACAATTCTATGAATTGTCACATAACTGCTTGCTAATGCAATAAATGATGGTCTATACATCAGAATTCGGTTTGTCACTTGTTTTAAAAGTATAAATTACCTGATAATAAGTTTGTTATAAAAAAAAACTAATATTGGTCACCTATTTCTAACTCAAGGTGCAGCCAGCAACTTTTTTTTTTAATGTAAATGGTATTGTGTCCATATTTATTTAGGTGTATATACAACACATGGAAAGGGGTAGGCTGTACAACTTGGTCTGGAGAATTTGTGTACCTACCTATATAATATGTGTATAAATCTACGTATTTACACACAAACCATAAATAAATCCAAATACATTGCAAATAAAGAACACAAGTAGATGAATACACTTACTAACCATGAATTATATTATACTCTTTTGATTGTGGCCATCAAAACTTTAATAGTTTGTATGATAACATTTTAAAGTGAAGAAAACCTCAAGGATTTCTTCCAAGTATGTTTCAGAGTTACTCAGAATGACTCATAACAGAAAATAGCTATAATCACAGCTTGGTTTCTTGTAACATGGAGGCTCCCCCTCTAAGAGCTAATGTAATGAAAAGATTACAGTTTGCCTTGCTCTCTCCTAACAAGCAAATAACAGTGATTATTTGCTTGATTTATGTATTTTCTTTTTTTATTTTTATTTTAAAGAGAGTAGTAAATGAGAAACAAACAAAGAAATAGAACAGTAGCAGCATACCAGTATCACAAACATAAACAAATCAAAGCAGAAACATTCAAAGTGATACAGGGTCTCAAGACAAAATAATATGAATCAACAGTGGTTGTTACATTACATATCACTATTCTCAACTACATTGCTCAGATTATCAGATGTAAGAATGAAAGATTGTTCAAACCATTATAGGGAATAAGAAAATAGTTTTCGATAAAACAGTAGAGATAAAACAGAGTTTCACTAGACAAGATGGTAGGAGTTCACCATTGTAATTCCATTGCATATTGTTACCTTCAAATCAGTTGCTCAGACCACCAGACACAAGCATGCACAATCGATAAGAACATAAAAAATTGTAATCATTAACTGTTCATTTCAACATACCATCAGACATCAGCAATATAGTTATTGCAGTGATTCATATATATATTTATATTTTTGTATTCCTTCTTTCTTTTTTCTTCTTTCCCTCATCCCAGTTGTTCCTTGTTTTGATCAATTTCTTTCCCTTTCCTATCATCTATTGTACGTTTTGAGTTTTACCTAGTCTTTCAGGTTCCTACACCAAGGAGACAATATGAAATGAACAGTTAATGATTACAATTTATTTCACTTATGAGTATTGTCTCTAGTTGGAAAGGCAGACCAAGCATTAAAAGTGAGTGATTTTTTCAAAAAAGTGTTCTTCTTATTAGGTTTCATTGGTTGAACCTTGGAGAACTTGTCACTTTATATCTAGAACATTTTATGCCTTAATGGAATAGTATCACTCACTGGAAATCTAATAAACATCCAAATTCTAAACCAACATGGCCTGAGTTGATCACATGGCATGGAATGGATGAAAGCTATTTCCAATTGTCTACAAGTTCTTTCATTTATCTGGATCTTTTGCCATTTTACTGGTTCAATTTTGACCACAGAAAACTTAGGTTCACTGAGTTTGCAGGAGTTTTGCTTAATGTTATTACAGAAAAGATATCACACTAAAGATTTTACATACCCTGGAAGGCAGAAAGGCTATAGCCACTCTACTTGCAAATTAAAATCTTAGCTGTGAATTTCAACAAATCAGATGAATTTGTCTAATTGCCTCTGTAATTCTTTACTGAGGAGTCACAAATTTTGTTATATTTATGGCAATCTCAGACTCAAGGGTATCTTTTAAAAGTACTTGCTAGGGAAAGATTGTATTTTCAGTTTTCTGCTAAGCAGGTCATAGCAAGCCCTAGAAGGCCTCCACTTCCTCAAAGCGTTTTTTTTTTTTTTTTACCTTTTCATTTTATTGGTACATTTTATGATGATATTTGCCATCGGACATTTGTACTTATACCTGATATATCTTGCTTTTTCTTTTTTCTCATCCCCTTCCCCTCCCTTTACCTTATTATGCATTTTTTTCTTATTTACAAAAGCCTTGTTTCCTTTTTTTTCTTCTATTCTCCCTTTTCATCTAGGTTCACTATGAAGAGCAAAGTTAGCACCTGTGCAATGATCCAATTTGTTTTTGGGATTTTGTGCTACATTTCACCTCACCAATTGCAGCTTCACCACAAGGTAATAGTTTGGTTTAAACACATGACTATCTTATTTTTTCAATTCATTTAGTTTTTTAAGAATGAAGGATGAAGGAATTCTGATGGAGCCACAAGCCAGGCCTTCTAGGTCTTATTATCACAGAAAAACCAACTCAGAGAGGAGATAGAAATCAAGAATTATCAGTTAGTGATTGAGTTGGGAAATTTCACAATGGAGAAATTGGGGCATAATAGAGGTTTCCTGTCCAAGGGATAGGCATGTATTAATACTTTTGATCTGGGTTTCCAGTAGAAAATCAATAAAATAATGTTTGCTTCTGGGATATTATTGGGTGGAGATTTGAAGCTACATGCACAGCAATAGATGGGAAGGAAATGGCCCTACTACATTTCCTTTTCTCCTATGTTCTCTATGGTGTAAGTGCTCCCAAAGGCCTATTATTTGAAGGCATGGTCTCTGGCCTGTGGCACTATTGGAAGGTGGTGGGACTTTCAAGAGGTGGAGACTCATGGGAGAAAGGTAGACTAAGGGGAGCATGGGATGGGATCAGGGCATGCTGCCTCTTCCTCCTTAGTGCCTCCCAGGTGTCATGAGGTGAGCAGATTACCACATACCACCCCCCCACTGTGATGTCCAGCTTTGGTACAAACCCCAAAGTGATAAAGTCAACTGACCATGAACTAAAACCTGCAAAAATATAAGCCAAAATAAACCTTTCCTCTTTATAAATTGATTTATCTCAGGTATTTATTACAGCACACTTATAGAGCCTGCCTGCCCAATTGCCAGCTGCCAGATAGTGCTAGGACTACTCACTCCGTGTTGTTCATACTATGCTACCATCTCCTCCATGTACGTTAAGATTTATTTTTCTCTTATCAGCTTTCTGGCATATTCATTTTCATAAGAATTCACTGGGTTTTACATGTGGTATACAAAGGGGTAGGGTATGTCACTCAATATGATTGTTTTATAGTTCTTCTTTCTAAATATGACCCTGTTTAGATGTTGGAGTTAGTGAGAAAAAAATGAGCTACCTAGCACCATTTAGGGAAAATTACCTACTTTTTTATGCTTGTAATCACTAACATATGCCAGGCAGAAAACGATTCTTCAGCCAACCCAGTAACTAATTTTTATTAACTAGGTCACCCTTTAAATCAAAAGAGCTTAGATAAGCTAAGAATTAGATGTAAATATACTATCAGGTAGAAATTCTGAGATCTAATTTGATAATATTCAAACATTTTTTAAATGAACAGAAATAAATGATTCAGGGATTGCTCTGAAAATGTAAATTCAAAAATGCATTCTTTGTTGAGCTTTGCAAGGAATGCTTTCTCAGTGGTGACATCTAAAATATTAACAACGTGCTAATTATAATGAGTCCAACCACATACTGGTAAGGCTTCTAGCTTAAAACACCCAGAGCACTGCATAGCACGATGCCCAGCAAATCAGTTCTGCCATCTTTGTTGGTGCCTCGCTAGGCCTGGGATACAGAAAACCCAATCAAATTTCTATTTCATCATCTGACTCATTCTAACACTTTTTCGTGTCCCACATGAGAACTAGGAACACCTGGTCTCAGCTCCATCCTAAGGCCAGCTGAGCCTAACTCCCATCAGATGTGCTATGCACTTGGCTATTATCCGGAACCTCCCATGGATGGTCTGCTTTATTTTTGAAAGCCTAGAAAAAAAGTAATTCACTATAGTTTTTCAAAGGCCGCTGAGTCTGGTTGGCAGATTATGCAAAAGATGGCTACATGATAAACCACTTGTTTTCTCAGTGATTGAACACTTATGAAACACATGACATAAACCCCCAGGCACTCCTGAATGCTGCTCCAGATAGAGAATTCTTTTTCAGTGGGTTCCCTTCTCTGCTGGTGGGAATACAGAGACTTGTACTGATTTTACCAAACCATAAACCTCATCTACCATGTGACTGATATGTACAATGGATGATAAGTGACCAATGTATCTCATGCTCTGTCCTTTCTTGTTAAAACTTCCAGTGGCTAGCATAGCTTGATACTTACATGTATTTGAATTTTCTTTTTCCTTGGGTGTATTATAAATGGAAGCAGAAATATCCAAATTCCTTTTGCATTTAGAAAACTCAACATACAAAACTCTGATGCACAGTTAGGGAATTGTTATTTATTGTTAAAAAAGTTTTTTTTACTTTTCAAGAAAATCTCTAAATAAAATTAATTTATGAATCTGGTTCCAATTTTAAAAACTGATAGCTATAAAGTATTTAAGGAAGGGTTTTTTTAAATTTATGTTGTGATATAACTTGAATGCAATTTCTCTGAACTTAGAGGCTCAATCAAGCAACAACACAACCAGAATAATGCACAAGTAAAATATCTCTTCATTTCTGAATTCTATGAACACAGGTTACATAACTTTACTAGCATAAGGAAAAAGCTGTAATTGATCCCAAGCAATTAATGGATTGGTCTGCAATGCAACAAACACCAATGGGAGAGTGACTAAATGAAGCAAAAAAGAAAAAAAAAACTCTTTTTAATCATCTTTGCAAAGTTTGTTCCAGAATCCTGAATGCAGGCTTGGGCATACTGGATGCCAGAACAATATAACAAAAGGGAATTAAAGGAATAGGGACATATATGCTTATAAAATAGGAGAATAATTTATGGGCAAAGACCTATAGACCTAAGTACTGTCCTCATAGGTTACTCTAGCAAGAGGCCAGACTTGCAAGTGACAGCTCAGTAATTGAAGAACACAAGACAGAGAAGAATCTTTTAGGGGGGGTAGAAAAGAGGTTAAGTAGGGGCAATGGAATGGAATAGAATGCTTTTGTTTATGTATTTAAAAGGCCCTCCGAGACAACCTTCTGAATTCCAAATTAGCTGAGTCATCATCATGGTCTCTCAAACTTAAAAACATCAACATGCTGAGCCGTATAAATGCTGCAATTAATTGTTTGCAGTTCAGAGTAGAAATATAAAATGAAAAACTCTAGTTAGATGTTGGGGAGGATATTTCCACTTCCAGATGGTGAGAAATATTAGATCATGAAGGAAGTCCCTGAGGGAATTGCCAGAAATCATTGTGAAGCTCTTAAAATCAGACTGTTCAAAGTAATGGAATATGCAATAGGGGGAAAATGTCTGCATTCACAAAGAGATGAAAACAGACACAATAATATCCATTATCCCTTCCCTTCTCCAAACTACTAGTTGTCTCTGACACCAACATTTGCCCAGATACCATACTCTTTGATCTCTCCCTCTTATACAGGCAAGCCAAATGACTGCCAACTCTAACTTATGTGGTACAAATTTCATCAGTTTCCTCCTTTCTGTTATTTCCTTTTGAGGTCACTCATTACCTTTCTTGCATATGTCTCAGCAGAATCTTGAATTATACCTTTATCCTTGGTATCTCAGGCTCCCACCTTTTCTTCACACCCATATCAGTATATTTGATATAATTTTTCAGTATAATTAAGATTGTCATTGCCTTGTTCAAGGGAAAACTCCCTATTTCTTAGTAGAATCATTTCAGCTAATAATTCATGAAGATAGGCCAGAATATCACAACTTTGCAAACTCTATTAAAGTAATGAATATAGATATTGATCATCAACATAAAATCAATAGGTAAAGAGGTGAAAAGAAGCTCAGTAATGAAAATTTCAGATTGATAACACCTGAATCCAGTAACCAATTTTAGCATGACAAAAAGAGAGTCAATCTTTTTGAGGGAAGCACATAACTATTTATGAAGAATTCTTGCCAGTAAATCAAAACTGAATCTAATCAAATATCTAGACACAACTACTACTTCAGAAACAAATTAAGGACAAAGAACTGTGCTAAACAAAACTCCAGTAAGGTAACTGATAGACATCCAGAATCCTAAAAATGGTGCTGGCCAGGACACATACTTCTTTGTTCTTCTTTAGACCCCAAGATAAACTTCCTAATCCCTTTTGTGCGTGTGCTGGCTAACTCCCAGTCCCCTCGAGATACGACACATTGCCTGCCCATATTTACTCCACCTCCAGTCCAATCTAATAAAAACTCATTCCCCCAGCTCCCCGCTTTGAAGGTCCTTGCAATCTCCTGCAACCCTCCCTTGTTGGCAATAAATGCTTATTTTATCTTTCTCTATCTCTTGCTCTATCTGGTGCCAAACCTAATAGTAATTAACTAACATCCAAACATCAAAATATTTAAAGGATCAATGACCCAGTTCCTGCAACAAATACAGAGCAAGAAAAGTAAAAAGACGAATCTCTAGATTTAATGAGATTTAAGAGATATATCAGCCAAATGCAATAATGTAGAGCTAGTTTGAATTTCACATGGCATATAGAATTATTTTGATAGTTTGATTTAAACAATCTGTAGAATATAGTTACAGCATTTTAGGGCTTCTTTAGCCTGCATCTCCAAACCTTTCCAAACTCTTCCTACAAACTAAGTCAAGTTCCAAAGGCTTCTGAATCACATGATCAGGTACTATTCCAGCAATGTACCAATGTACAAGTGGTACCTATGTCCCATTTCTCTGGTACCAATTTTCTACATTGGTCAACTTTTCACTGCTGAGACAAAATACTTGACATAAACAACCTAGAGGGTGAACGGTTTACATTGGTCACCATTTTAGAGTTTGTCTATGAATGTTCTCCAAGGCAAAACATGGTGGCAGGAGGGCATGGTGGAAGAATGTTGCTCACCTCATGGCAGCCTGGAAACAGAGGAGGAGCCAGAGAGGAGGGGACCAGGAACCAGATACAAGTATAACCCCAAAGTCAACCTCCCAGGACTGCTCAGACACACTCAGAATTGTGCTTTACTAATTTCCCAAGCATTTCTCAAGCCAATTAAGTTAACAATCAAGATTAAACATCCCAGTTACACGATAGTTCCAAAATCAAACCAGACATTGTGGAAAATGAAATCAGTGCTCTACAATATGAGCTATAATTTTTGATACAGAGAAACTTCATTAAACTCAAAGGGCTGGCCA